TGCTTTATAGCCAGAGTGATCATCAAGCTGAATTTTTCCTTAAAATATTTTTCAAAGTATTTTTTCTTATGGAGTTAGATACGCATTTTCATATGAATTTAACGAGTACTATGCAAATTTTTTATTCAGTACTAGAATTGCCTTGCCACCCTACATACATTACCTAAATTTAAATAATATAACAATCTCACCCATCTGATGTCACTCACTAGGTAGCATTATTTGCCATCAATGACATACAGTACAATATATTAATTCTTAATTTTGTGATTATGAAACTTGAGTTTAAAAGAGCCATAGCAAAAATGCATACAACCTTGGCTGTAGTACAACTGCCCTTGCTGCTTAGGCCAAGTTGGCAAGCACTGGCTGAAAAGCACAACATATATGTATATTAAAAGCATTTTCATATTTACTGCATATGAACTACCGGATCTATAAAAATAATTTTGATAAAAGTTCCAGCGCAAATGTTTATGTACAAACAAAGTACAGCACATGCAAACATGCACATTTGTGTATTAAATGTATCATACATCTCATTTGACTATCTGAAATTAGAATAATAATCTGTAATGACTAGTAAAAAATAATATAGGCTGTAGTACATACAATGATCAAATGGGTCACAAAAAAACAAGAGCAATCACCCCTACCTCATTATTAAAATAAAGCTTGGAATTACAAATCATAAAAAAAAAAAAACTTTTCTGTTAACATTTGCTTTGCATTTTTCAATTTGTTCTGGAACATTCAAAACTACAAGAGACACTATTTAACCTACTTTGTCACCTCAGAAGTAACTAGTACTGTACAGTGATCTTGTGTCCATTCATATAATCTACTTCAAATGTGCAAAAATATTATTACAAATTCTTCCTCTAATGCACCTTGAACCTGATGTTCCAGGTAGTACAACTACAATAGATTTCGCTTTTTCCGCCGATCCCCTCGACAAATTATATAAAGCGGAAAGTAAAGTGAGATGCATCCTAGGCTACACTTGGTGCAACACCACAAGTTCTTTGTGCCTGTAAGAGTTACAGTTATCCAGTTTCAGAGAAAATGAAGTGTTGAAATCCACAGAAGTTTCACATATTAAAAAGGAAAATATGTGCAGGAAACTGTTCAGGTTGACCACAAAAAACTCTCACTCAAAGACACAGAACATCCATTCATGAATCATTATGACTAGTAACCATCTAAGGTCACAGAGTTGAAGCTACAGATGCCAACATGGAAGCTACCATGCCTGTGTAGCGCCTCAAACATGGGAGGAGGCTGCACGTAAGCCAAGGTGACAACCTACCATGTATATCTACCATGAGGCTGCACAACATGCAGGAAAAAAGACACTTCTCCCTGCTATTACTGGGAGTCAAAAATGGAAATGGCATCCATTCTCATTTATTTCAGCTACTGATGAAACTATCACAGTTAATTAGCATTGCTCTACTTAAAATGATTTTTCAATTTTAAGTTTTTCCGAATATATCAAATTTATCTACATACGTATATGATTTTCATATTTACAAAATAAAAAATATGAAAGCATCTTTGCCAAGCATTTCAAAAATTACAAATGTGCTTAAAATAGATATGATGATATTGTTTCAAGTGAAGATGATGATGAACAAGCTAGCATGTCAAGTAGAACATCGGTAGTTTGAGCCACGTGAGAATTATGCAAATGTTTGACAAGAATGATAAGTTGATAAACACAGCACTTCAGATCGGTAAGAGGCAGGAGGGTGGCACATCAATGGGCTGAGGAAGGAATAAGGCAACAGGTCAGTTAAAGGACCTTGTACTAAATACCATCTATTTAAAAGAATAAGTCACATGAGGGCTGCTTTTAGGTGGACTGGATAAAATGAACCAACTCCTAAATTGTACTTTACCATTTCCAATGATATGAAGAGTGCATGTTGCGATTCTTGTTTTTGAATGAGAATGTAATTCACACTAATTTTTTTGGCTTCTGCATTGTTCCTTAAAACATCAATTCTCACAAATACCTTTGTGCTTAAAGCCTAGGTTAAGAGCAGCCTCTCCATGAGCAACACAAGCCTACTTAAAGTATCTAATGGGTGACCCTTTTATGCCACATTTTATGATTAAAAAAATTGAAGAATTGACAAGGATTATGATAAAACTTTTCCAATGATGATCACTGTAATCACAATGATTACAGTAATGGCCATCTAGAGTTGACAAATTTGCAAGTGTGAAAAGCTAAGACTTCTTCACTGACCCCAGCCCACGAGTATAGAAAAAAAAACATAAAAAGGAGAGGTGCTAATGCATAGGGTTTCAGAAATATTCCCTAGCTGAGACAAGTAAATCATCAAAAACAGCGACTAGGATATTTAGGAACATCATGGTCCTAATGTTGTCTTCACTAATGTGTAGATATGAAACACTTGTGTGATGTAGATCTTCAAAACTTAATCATATTACTTTAGCTGTACAAAAATTCTGTTTTAGCACATCGTCACCAAAAAACTATCTCTACACCCATCAACACTCATAAAAATGTTCATAACCAAACCTAAACACTGACAATTACACATCTAAGAGTGCATGTGTGTTGCGTTTGTGTTTGCATGCCTATGTACTCGCCTATACATGTATGTGTGTGTACAAACCTATATGTAATTGCAGGGGTCGATTCATGGCTCCTGGCTGTATGCGTGTATGTGTACATGCTAAGCTAATTGTACTCGCCTAATTGTGATTGCAGGGGTTGGGTCTCAGCTTCAGGTCCTACCTTGCTGCTACTAAAGAATGTGTGGTATGCAAAACACTCTAGGCTTGAAGCTATGAATGCTGACAAGACAAAATCAAGTATATGAACCCAGCTATGTTGCTGGGCAAAAATTAGGGCAGCACCACAGTGACCTGACTGGCTGATTGAACTGCCTGTGGTGGTCAATGCTGTGTTTGTATTTTTTGTGTACATGTCTTTTGGTATTAACCCCTTCCCCATGAGAACTACTTTACTGAACATCATGATGCAATTATATTAAATAACTCAATGAACACTAATGCTACTTCAAGTAGCAACTAATGTGCACAAGTGAATGTGAATCAAACCTTCTGCGTTTCCTGTGAGATCGTTCTAAACATGTCACTATCTAGAAATAAATTTTCTACCCATTTTCAATATAATGCAAGACTCTCCAGTCAACATGGGAAGGTGTATTACAATTAAAAGATAAAAAAAAAAAGATATGTTTATTTGTTTCTGTTATTCAGACACGAGTGTAATAAACAAAGTGGTAAATAAATAAATAAATAAATAAATAAAAAAAAAAAACATGGAGGTACTAAGGAAAAGAAGAGATGAGTTATAGTACAGTACTGTATACATTCATGGTCCACATCTTGAATTATAACTTGTGATCTTATGGAAAATTCTTCACTTGTTGTAATTTTTAAGTAAACTATTCTCACGGGCCATATCTTGGTTGTTAAATATGGGATAACTATTCTGGCTTCACACTTTGTTTATCCCTCTTTAACAGGGCCTGTCTGCTAGAGACTCAACGAGAGAACAAAATACAGCACTTATATTCTTCTGTCTCTTATGTGGGGTTGTCTCTGCATTTAAAGTTAGAAGCTTCATTTCTGTAGTTAAAACACCCTCTTTTTCTTTGGGAATCAGGACTGAGTGCATACATTCATGTGCAAGGTGTGCAAATGCACAATGGTACAGTATTGCATCAATGACTGAAGGTAATCAAGAGTTTTCGTTTCCAACCCTTAATACCAGTAACAAAATTGAGGTGAAGGGGTTAGTGCAATATGTATCTCAAAGCCTGAGCAGTCAAAGTATAGTGACTTCTAGTACATAACATTTAAAAAGGAATCTGAAATAAATCTCCTATGATACTGACTTAATCCAAAGACAGAATGAGCAATGCTTCATTATAAGCCAGTCCAGTATATGCATAACTACCCAAGAATTAAAGCTTAACCACTATCATGTTACAAAAAGTGTCTAACTTTCTTTAGTGAATGCGCCTTCTCTCACTCACACACACACACACACACACACACACACACACACACACACACACACACACACACACGCTGCTAGATGCTTTGCAGATATCATTACTGTACTCCAAAAACAATCTTTGCACATATCTAATGCCCAATGGCATAAAATACAATTTAAAAAGTGTATCACGGTTTACGGGATTTTTTAAATGTCCTGCACAAACACTGGAACTGTCAAAAATCCCAAAGAACAGTCCTGTGCTGGTTTTAGGCAACAAAGCAGGCTTATAGCCTGAGCAAATTCCTAGGTGGGGGAGGGGGAGGATACACTCAAAATAGTATCAGTCAGTTAACAGTAATCTAGAGCCTCTGTCTTTAAACTTAAATGACAAACAAATAACCAAACACTCTGATGAACAGTACTGTGGGCTGATTTTAGTGTGTTATGAAAACTCATTTACATTTCCTAATTACATTATTACATATTTAGATACTAAGCTTTTCACTTGTAATCCAAGGAGAGTAGCTACTCCCATTGCCCCTCCCTCCCAAAGGCTACGGCCCTGCAAAGCTAGACAGACACAGTGATATACGTTTACAGTATAATAAACAAAATTCCCAAACCTCAAGGCAAGTTGTCTCGTTTTATACCTTCCTATTAGTTACCAGTACAGTAATAGGAATCTCTTTGAAGCCAGAGTAAAGATGTATGCATTAGCTTGCAGCCACTTAATATATACATACTGCAATTAGTAGGCAAGTTACCCACAGGTCATATTTCTGGTCTGTAATTAACTACTAGATATGTTTTGCAATGATGTCATTGGTGAAATATTTTAAAACACACTTCTACCTTGTATAAAAAAAACTGATCAGGGGAATATTCAAATTCTTACCTTATACATCAAGAAAATGATTGAACAAGAGTTAGTGCTGTCCCATGTATCCTCTCAGGACTGAAACCAGAACTTTTGATGGTTAATCAAATTTCAATGGTGTCTCAACTGGTTTACATTTTTGCATAGGAATTTTAAAAAAACTGGGCGAGTGAATGCCCAAATTACTAAATCTTAAAGGCTTTTAGCTTATACCTACAGTACAGCAATATTAATCTTTAAACACCACCTGCGGCTCTAGAGGATGAAAACAGTATTCAAGAAATGGGTATGTTATTAACATACTTGCAACGAACAAGCACAGATGTAAATGTGGAAAATTTGAGAGTATATGGAAATGAACATTTCAAAACTATAATTTCTAATTTACAATACTGTACTTTTCAATGCCAATTTGTTTGCTTAAAAATTACTGCAATACATTAAATTCTGCCACCCTGATATACCCTATCACTTAACAATCAGTATTCATAGTATCCTTTAACTTTACTAAACAATAAAAAATTAAGCTGCCAATGGAAAAATGAATGTGTTATTCATACCAAATGATCCTACTTATACAGCCATGCACCACTCGACTGTACACCAAATATTTTCAAATTCTCTTTTCAGAACCGATTCTTAGATTTTAAATATCTGCAATACTTGCGATTTACCAGCACTGCAGTTGAAACACTGGTTTGAATGGAAGCACCACATAAATGTTTTGGGTAGACACTGCTGCACGCTGGCCAACAACCCGTGCTGATGCCTATCTCCATGCAACAAACCCAAGCTTACTGCCTATCTCTGTACAACAAACCCAAGCTTACTGACACTAGGAGTACAGTGTACACCTGATTTTTAGACTGCATTTTATAGTGATTTTAAAATTAATTACTCTTCTGTCTTCAGGAGAGCAATGCTATACTTGTTCTGCACACAGATAACCAATATAAAAATGTGCAAGGTGTGAAAAAAAAATTATGCCCCAGTATTGGTATAGCTTATATTACAGATGTGAGAAGACGCAGAACTTTACGTATGTCAGTAATGCAAAACGGAAATTCACTAATATGAGAAGGTAGAATTACTAAAGAAAATGGAGGTCCAAGTGTTTCTTACCAAGTAAAAGTGTATAACATTAGAAAAAGAACTCCACAAATTTAAATACCATACCCAGAAACCATTAAAGTGGCTTCTTATAAAAATTTTATACAAGCTTGCTAGTCAAATATCAACATAATATTTTAAGGAAGAATTTTGTTAAGAACACACCAGGTATTGCTGCCATCAACTGAAGCTTGGAAATATAAAAGGTTTAATACTGTACAGCCAAAGCTGGCTGCATGGACTTAAAAAGTTCAATCATTTGTGGTGAAAGGGCATCTGCAGCTACTGTCGGCCTTCACAACCATTCAGATGAATTTACTCTTTTGGTTGAATATCACCATACAACTAATGATCAAGTACTATATAACAATGACTAAGTGGAATTATGTTGGAAATGCATTTTACAACTTGCCTTCACTTTTAGCAATAAGAATTATGTGGCCAGTGTGAGCAAAGGAAAGATTAATTATTTTGACCCATGCTACCACAGTTGGCACACATGAAACTTGCTTTTCTTGGGGGTTATGTGCTAATCCATATACACTTAGTGGTACATACAAGTTCCCAATTCTTTACAAGGCAAGAAGACCTAGATTACACAAGAATTTAGTGTCAAACACTGTGTGTTATAAACACAGACCAATAAACATGTGAAAAATGGGCAGAAAATATAGCACTGAATAGAAAAGATCTGCATATTTCAACATAAGTCAGAGACCCTCTTCAGTAGATCTGCAGAAGGTGTCTGGCTGAGGTTGAAATATTCAGATCAAATTTTTATTCTATTATTGTGTGCTAACTCTCGACAATCTACACACGCGTTCCCTCAATTTTGTGAACAACCAATAATGCTCAGATATTCTAAACTGCCTACAAATATGTAAGTAGAGTATTGCAAAAAGACAATTTTAACAGCGACTGCTGAGTACCTATATTTTTTTGTCTTGTATGCCGAAGACTTGTGTGTATGTGCTGGATATTTGGAAGTTCTGTAAACTCCTGGTCCCGATGTGTCTGGATTAGCAGTGGACAACTGTATTACGTAATACGTATTGCAATAATCGCGAACGAGTGATAGAACATGCAAAATAACTACCGGAGGAGTTGAATGATAGCTGGCATTCAACTTCCCCTATGATTATTTTGTATAACATATATAAATCATACATACAGATAACAATTAATTTTAATTTTACTGACTTTGACGTAGTATGAATACTTGTTACACTCCTTATTAGAGATCATATTGAGAATCCCAACCTCTCCCTTCAGAAAAATTGTTATATGGCATATTATCTGCCTCAACTTATCTACACTGCAAGTACAGATGTTTTCTTCACACAAAAATTCTTCATTCAATTAATGAGACAAAACAAGATAATTCAATTTTGTAACACCATTATTTGTATACTACAGTACAGTATAAAAACTTAGTGTGTCTGGCCTCCTGACAATTATTTTTAATAATGTATTTCCTTATTCCAAACCTGAGAGTATACAAATTCACCACCTTAATACAAAACTTATGTCCCTTTTGCTCATAAGCTTACTTCTAGTCTTGTGTCAAAATGGATCTATAATATTTTATGTATCCATCATTAAAACATGTTGTGCATACATAAAATACTTCTACTATATACTTGGTCTTTGTTTACCATATCCCACTTTTTCTCAGTTTTGATTCGAATGAATTATGCATCGTTGCACACTGCTCTGAGCATTCAATCCCTCTTCTGCGCCCACTTGAAATCATCGGCACGCGGTTTACAGCCCAGCACCAATTGGATCAAACACTCTAGAGAGGTCCAAAACTTGAGCTTCTCAAGGGGGTAATTGAGCCAGCCAGTGGTTATGCAGAAGTACGTCTCGTGAGGTGCCACGTGGTGAATGCGGTGGTGACGCTTGGGCAGGATGATATGTAGGTCCTAAAAGAAAGAAAATGAAGTCACCAACTGCTATATTGTACATGCTAATGTTTCAAGATATTTTAATCCATAAATTACATAACTACAGAACACAGTAGGACCCCTGTATCTACGGGGGATATGTTCCAAGGACCTACCGTGGATAGTAGCGAACCCTATACATCGTTTTTAATTTACATACTTACCTATTATAAAGTATGATAAATTTCCACTTATTGTGCATAATTTATCATATTTAACCGATGGGAAGCACTTCATGGCTTCTCTTAGGCTTTGAAGAACTTCCACCATCACTACATTTGCACTTTGAAACCATTAGTTTTAAAAATAGGTTGGATAACTATACGAGTGGGTGCGAGTTGGACATTACAAAGAAAAGAGTAAAATGAATTTAATCAAGTTTCATTGCCAAATTATTTTACTGTTAACACAAGTTGTGGAACAACTCTTTTACTGGGACAGTTTTATATCTTACACTTGCGGGTTGCAGAATAAGCAAGGAAAATCCTGTGTGATATTTTCTATCCAAACAACTCTTTTTGTAAGTTGATACATTAGGAATGCAAATAATTTACAAGTTCAAACACCAAGAATGCAACTCGACTACTTTAAGCACTCAATTCTGAAACAAGAAATAATTCATTCACAATGTAATATGGTACTGACCTGTAATATAGTGACCCAGCGTGGGAGGCCAAAGTATGTATGAGACCACTTGTGAATCTGTGGGAAAACAAGGATTCATAATGTGTGCTGGATGCTCTGCGCTCTATGAATACAGTCAGCTTTCTTAAACTCCACTAAATAGTTAAGTTATTTGTAAGTGGGCTGAAAAAAGTGCATTGAAAATTGAACTGAATGCAGTAGTAGGTTGGTAGACAGCAAGTGCCCAGGGAGGTACTACCGTCCTGCCAAGTGAGTGTAAAACGAAAGCCTGTAATTGTTTTACATGATGGTAGGATTGCTGGTGTCTTTTTTTCTGTCTCATTAACATGCAAGATTTCAGGTACGTCTTGCTACTTCTACTTACACTTAGGTCACACTACATATACATGTACAAGCATATACAGTGGACCCCCCGTTCACGTCATTAATCCGTTCCTGAGAGCTCATCGTAAAGCAAAATTATCGGAAAGCAAATAAATTTTCCCCATAAGAAATAATGGAAATCAAATTAATCCGTGCAAGACACCCAAAAGTATGAAAAAAAAAAAACTTTTACCACATGAAATATTAAGTTTAATGCAATAGAATAATTACAATAGCAATAATAAAAATATAATAAACACAATAGAATAATTGACACTTACCTTTAATGAAGATCTGGTGATGATTGATGGGATGGGAGGAGGGGAGAGTGTCGAAGTTTTTAATGTTTAGAAGGGGAATCCCCCTCCATTAGGACTTGAGGTAGCAAGTCCTTTTCTGGGGTTACTTCCCTTCTTCTTTTAATGCCACTAGGACCAGATTGAGAGTCACTGGACTTCTGTCGCACAACATATCTGTCCATAGAGACCTGTACCTCTCGTTCCTGCTCACTATAGTAGAGATGGTCGATTGGGATTTACTATACAACTTGGCCAGGTCCGACACACGCACTCCACTTTCATACTTTGCAATTATCTCTTTCTTCATTTCAATAGTCATTAGCGCCCTTGGTCTCGAAGGGTTGGCACTAGAAGCTTTCTTGGGGCCCATGGTGACTTATTTTGCAGAAACAAGCACCAGAGACAGTGATAATATGGAATGTACCGAATGTATCCTTAGATGCAAGCACACTGGCTGGCTTGTAAACACTGGCACACACGGGGCAGTTCAGGCCACATGTGGACATGTCTCGTATGAATCGTATCACGTACCGGGTTTTGTTACGGAAACCTGGGCAATTTTTTGGCGATATAACGCTTCGCATACCGGATTTATCGGTTACCGGTGACTTCGCAAACCGGGGATCCACCGTATATACACAGCCCTCTGGGTTTTCTTCTATTTTCTTCCTAGTTCTTTTTTTTTTCAACAAGTCGGTCGTCTCCCACCGAGGCAGGGTGACCCAAAAAAGAAAGAAAATCCCCAAAAAGAAAATACTTTCATCATCATTCAACACTTTCACCACACTCACACATTATCACTGCTTTTGCAGAGGTGCTCAGAATACAACAGTCTAGAAGCATATACGTATAAAGATACACAACATATCCCTCCAAACTGCCAATATCCCAAACCCCTCCTTTAAAGTGCAGGCATTGTACTTCCCATTTCCAGGACTCAAGTCAGACTATAAGAAAATAACCGGTTTCCCTGAATCCCTTCACTAAATATTACCCTGCTCACACTCCAACAGATCGTCAGGTCCCAAGTATCATTCGTCTCCATTCACTCCTATCTAACACGCTCATGCACGCTTGCTGGAAGTCCAAGCCCCTCGCCCACAAAACCTCCTTTACCCCCTCTTTCCAACCCTTTCGAGGACGACCCCTACCCCTCTTTCCTTCCCCTATAGATTTACATGCTTTCCATGTCATTCTACTTTGATCCATTCTCTCTAAATGACCAAACCACCTCAACAACCCCTCTTCTGCCCTCTGACTAATGCTTTTATTAACTCCACACCTTCTCCTAATTTCCACACTCCGAATTTTCTGCATAATATTTACACCACATATTGCCCTTAGACAGGACATCTCCACTGCCTCCAACCGTCTCCTCGCTGCTGCATTTACCACCCAAGCTTCACATCCATATAAGAGTGTTGGTACTACTATACTTTCATACATTCCCTTCTTTGCCTCCATAGATAACGTTTTTTGACTCCACATATACCTCAACGCACCACTCACCTTTTTTCCCTCATCAATTCTATGATTAACCTCATCCTTCATAAATCCATCCGCCGACACGTCAACTCCCAAGTATCTGAAAACATTCACTTCTTCCATACTCCTCCTCCCCAATTTGATATCCAATTTTTCTTTATCTAAATCATTTGATACCCTCATCACCTTACTCTTTTCTATGTTCACTTTCAACTTTCTACCTTTACACACATTCCCAAACTCATCCACTAACCTTTGCAATTTTTCTTTAGAATCTCCCATAAGCACAGTATCATCAGCAAAAAGTAACTGTCAATTCCCATTTTGAATTTGATTCCCCATAATTTAATCCCACCCCTCTCCCGAACACCCTAGCATTTACTTCTTTTATAGCCCCATCTATAAATATATTAAACAACCATGGCGACATTACACATCCCTGTCTAAGACCTACTTTTACCGGGAAGTATTCTCCCTCTCTTCTACACACCCTAACCTGAGCCTCACTATCCTCATAAAAGCTCTTTACAGCATTTAGTAACTTATCACCTATTCCATAAACTTGCAACATCTGCCACATTGCTCCTCTATCCACTATCATATGCCTTTTCTAAATCCATAAATGCAATAAAAACTTCCCTACCTTTATCTAAATACTGTTCACATATATGCTTCAATGTAAACACTTGATCTACACATCCCCTACCCACTCTGAAGCCTCCTTGCTCATCCGCAATTCTACATTCTGTCTTACCTCTAATTCTTTCAATTATAACTCTACCGTATACTTTTCCTGGTATACTCAGTAAACTTATTCCTCTATAATTTTTACAATCTCTTTTGTCCCCTTTCCCTTTATATAAAGGGACTATACATGCTCTCCGCCAATCCCCAGGTACCTTCCCCTCTTTCATACATTTATTAAACAAAAGTACCAACCACTCCAACACTATATCCCCCCCTGCTTTAACATTTCTGTCATGATCCCATCAGTTCCAGCTGCTTTACCCCCTTTCATTCTACGTAATGCCTCACGTACCTCCACCACACTTACATTCTGCTCTTCTTCACTCCTAAAAGATGGTATACCTCCCTGGTCAGTGCATGAAATTACCGCCTCCCTTTCTTCCTCAACATTTAAAAGTTCCTCAAAATATTCTCGCCATATACCTAATACCTCCCTCTCCCCATCTACTAACTCCCCTACTCTGTTTTTAACGGACAAATCCATACTTTCCCTAGGCTTTCTTAACTTGTTTAACTCGCTCCAAAATTTTTTCTTATTTTCATTAAAATTTCTTGACAGTGCCTCTCCCACTCTTTCATCTGCTCTCCTTTTGCACTCTCTCACCACTCTCTTCACCTTTCTTTTACTCTCCATATACTCTGCTCTTCTTATAATACTTCTGCTTTGTAAAAACCTCTCGTAAGCTACCTTTTTCTCTTTTATCACACCCTTTACTTCATCATTCCACCAATCACTCCTCTTTCCTCCTGCCCCCACCCTCCTATAACCACAAACTTCTGCCCCACATTCTAATACTGCATTTTTAAAACTATTCCAACCCTCTTCAACCCCCCCACTACTCATCTTTGCACTAGCCCACCTTTCTGCCAATAATCGCTTATATCTCGCCCGAACTTCCTCCTCCCTTAGTTTATACACTTTCACCTCCCTCTTACTTGTTGTTGCCACCTTCCTCTTTTCCCATCTACCTCTTATTCTAACTGTAGCTACAACTAAATAATGATCTGATATATCAGTTGTCCCTCTATAAACATGTACATCCTGGAGCCTACCCATCAACCTTTTATCCACCAATACATAATCTAACAAACTACTTTCATTACGTGCTACATCATACCTTGTATATTTATTTATCCTCTTTTTCATAAAATATGTATTACTTATTACCAAATTTCTTTCTAAACATAGCTCAATTAAAGGCTCCCCATTTACATTTACCCCTGGCACCCCAAATTTACCTACTACTCCCTCCATAACATTTTTACCCACTTTAGCACTGAAATCCCCAACCACCATTACTCTCACACTTGATTCAAAACTCCCCACGCATTCACTCAACATTTCCCAGAATCTCTCTCTCTCCTCTACACCTCTTCTCCAGGTGCATATACGCTTAATATAACCCACTTTTCACATCCAATCTTTATTTTACTCCACATAATCCTTGAATTTATGCATTTGTAGTCCCTCTTTTCCTGCCATAGCTTATCCTTCAACATTATTGCTACTCCTTCTTTAGCTCTAACTATTTGAAACCCCTGACCTAATCCCATTTATTCCTCTCCATTGAAACTCTCCCACCCCCTTCAGCTTTGTTTCACTTAAAGCCAGGACATCCAGTTTCTTTTCATTCATAACATCCACAATCATCTCTTTCTTATCATTTGCACAACATCCACGCACATTCAGACTTCCCACTTTGACAATTTTCTTCTTCTTATTCTTTTTAGTAATCTTTACAGGAAAAGGGGTTACTAGCCCATTGTTCCCGGCATTTTAGTTGACTTTTACAACACGCATGGCTTACGGAGGAAAGATTCTTATTCCACTTCCCCATGGATATAAAAGGAAAAGTAATAAGACCAAGAACTATTAAGATAAAATCAAAGAAAACTCAGATGAGTGTGTATAAATAAACATGTACATGTATGTGTAGTTCTTATTCTTGTTTATTTCCTCTTATCTCCATGGGGAAGTGGAACAGAATTCTTCCTCTGTAAGCCATGCGTGTTGTAAGAGGAGACTAAAATGCCAGGAGCAAGGGGCTAGTAACCTCTTCTCCTGTATATATTACTAAATATAAAAGGAGAAACTTTCGTTTTTCCTTTTGGGCCACCCCGCCTCGGTGGGATACGGCCGGTGTGTTGAAAGATGCATTAAGATCTTTCCATGCTCTATTCAATTTTGGAAAAGGATACATCACTACTAAATAGTTTAGCCACATTAGATGCCACACTACTGACCAGAAAAATATATACAAGCTTTCTCAACTGTTACATTTTTGTTTTGTAGAATACATTAGTGGCACTTAAAAAGTGCAGGGAGGAACCATAGTGAACTGAAAGCATGAGAAATGCATACACATCCTCTTCTAAGAACTGTGGACTGGAGATTCTGAAGGCTCCAAGGAAGAAGCCTACTAATACCCTCCCTTGGTACTTAGCTCCCACCATGATAAGTCATAGAATTCTTGGGTCTAAGATTTATGTAATGTAGTGGCAATGTGTGGTGTGAATATAATGCAGAGAATTCGTAGTTTGGAAGTTAGGAGGAGGTGCGGGATTACCAAAACTGTTGTCCAGAGGGCTGAGGAAGGGTTGTTGAGGTGGTTCGGACATGTAGAGAGAATGGAGCGAAACAGAGTGACTTCAAGAGTGTATCAGTCTGTAGTGGAAGGAAGGCGGGGTAGGGGTCGGCCTAGGAAAGGTTGGAGGGAGGGGGTAAAGGAGGTTTTGTGTGCGAGGGGCTCGGACTTCCAGCAGGCATGCGTGAGCGTGTTTGATAGGAGTGAATGGAGACAAATGGTTTTTAATACTTGACGTGCTGTTGAAGTGTGAGCAAAGTAACATTTATGAAGGGGTTCAGGGAAACCGGCAGGCCGGACTTGAGTCCTGGAGATGGGAAGTACAGTGCCTGCACTCTGAAGGAGGGGTGTTAATATTGCAGTTTAAAAACTGTAGTGTAAAGCACCCTTCTGGCAAGACAGTGATGGAGTGAATGATGGTGAAAGTTTTTCTTTCTCGGGCCACCCTGCCTTGGTGGGAATCGGCCAGTGTGATAATAATAATAAAAAAAAATAGATGAGTTAAAGTTACATCAGATTTTATTTATAAACTAGCAACTCTGCTCATTATCTTTGATTAGAAACACTCCCAGCCTTCTCCTTATCTGAGTCCTTGATGTCAAGTTTTGGTTTAAGACTGATGATAAACCCAGGTACTCCATGGGGAAGTGGAACAGAATTCTTCCTTCGTAAGCCATGCACGTTGTAAAATGACGGGAGCAAGGGGCTAGTAACTCCCTCTATTTTTTTTATAGGTAATCCTGCCTCAGTGGGATATGGCCAGTTCGTTGGACAAAAATAAGGTCACGAATGCTTTATCCAAGTCCTTGATGCCAAGTTGCAGGTTAAGACCGATCATTGTAAGGCTAAAGTAATGAGCATAACCCAATTTACTATTTATAATAACTGCAGAAGTTATTGATCCAATTGCACACACACCCCTCTCCCTCCTCTCATAGTCAGGGTAAAGAATGTATAAAACTGAGCCCCAAGAACATGGCTGGAACATTTCATAATCCACATTCACGATAGAAAATACAGGATGTTATGATTCTCTGGAACTGATAATGATCCAGGATTGAACACTTATCTAGTTTCCTTTTGCAATATGTGACGATGCATCATCAATGATGTATAACAAAGAAAAAAGGAAATTTTTACCTGATTTGTTAATGCCACAAATATGGCCAGAAGGTAGAGGTAGGCAAACCAGTAATATTTGGCCTGAATCTGTTCGCTATTCTTGGAACAAAAATTCCAAGTCATGTACATCAGGCCTGGAATGGTTAGCATGAAGTTATCTCCATTGGTTTCTATGAAATCATGCCTAGTGATGGAGGTGGGGTCGATGTGGTGCTCTCGGAAAGGACGTATAAAGTTCTGAAAGAGACGAGGCAAATTTTAGTTTGTTTCTTAAAAAAGCCAAGCTAAGGAAAAAAAGGAAAACTCATTTCAATAGTCTATTATTGTCTGTGATTAAGTCATGAGAGTAATATCCCTTTATATAAAGGGAAAAGGGACAAAAGAGACTGTAAAAATTATAGAGGAATAAGTTTACTGAGTATACCAGGAAAAGTGTATGGTAGGGTTATAATTGAAAGAATTAGAGGCAAGACAGAATGTAGGATTGCGGATGAGCAAGGAGGTTTCAGAGTGGGTAGGGGATGTGTAGATCAAGTGTTTACATTGAAGCATATATGTGAACAGTATTTAGATAAAGGTACGGAAGTTTTTATTGCATTTATGGATTTAGAAAAGGCATATGATAGAGTGGATAGAGGAGCAATGTGGCAGATGTTACAAGTATATGGAATAGGTGGTAAGTTATTAAATGCTGTAAAGAGTTTTTATGAGGATAGTGAGGCTCAGGTTAGGGTGTGTAGAAGAGAGGGAGACTACTTCCCAGTAAAAGTAGGTCCTAGACAGGGATGTGTAATGTCACCATGGTTGTTTAATATATTTATAGATGGGGTTGTAAAGGAAGTAAATGCTAGGGTGTTCGGGAGTGGTGGGATTAAATTTTGGGGAATCAAATTCAAAATGGGAATTGACAGTTACTTTTTGCTGATGATACTGTGCTTATGGGAGATTCTAAAGAAAAATTGCAAAGGTTAGTGGATGAGTTTGGGAATGTGTGTAAAGGTAGAAAGTTGTAAATGAACATAGAAAAGACTAAGGTGATGAGGGTGTCAAATGATTTAGATAAAGAAAAATTGGATATCAAATTGGGGAGGAGGAGTATGGAAGAAGTGAATGTTTTCAGATACTTGGGAGTTGACGTGTCGGCGGATGGATTTATGAAGGATGAGGTTAATCATAGAATTGATGAGGGAAAAAAGGTGATTGGTGCGTTGAGGTATATGTGGAGTCAAAAAACGTTATCTATGGAGGCAAAGAAGGGAATGTATGAAAGTATAGTAGTACCAACACTCTTATATGGGTGTGAAGCTTGGGTGGTAAATGCAGCAGCGAGGAGACGGTTGGAGGCAGTGGAGATGTCCTGTTTAAGGGCAATGTGTGGTGTAAATATTATGCAGAAAATTCGGAGTGTGGAAATTAGGAAAAGGTGTGGAGTTAATAAAAGTATTAGTCAGAGGGCAGAAGAGGGTTGTTGAGGTGGTTTGGTCATTTAGAGAGAATGGATCAAAGTAGAATGACATGGAAAGCATATAAATCTATAGGGGAAGGAAGGCGGGGTAGGGGTCGTCCTCGAAAGGGTTGGAGAGAGGGGGTGAAGGAGGTTTTGTGGGCAAGGGGCTTGGACTTCCAGCAAGCGTGTGTGAGCGTGTTAGATAGGAGTGAATGGAGACGAATGGTACTTGGGACATGATGATCTGTTGGAGTGTGAGCAGGGTAATATTTAGTGAAGGGATTCAGGGAAACCGGTTATTTTCTTATAGTCTGACTTGAGTCCTGGAAATGGGAAGTACAATGCCTGCACTTTAAAGGAGGGGTTTGGGATATTGGCAGTTTGGAGGGATATGTTGTGTATCTTTATATGTGTATGCTTCTAAACTGTTGTATTCTGAGCACCTCTGCAAAAACAGTGATAATGTGCGAGTGTGGTGAAAGTGTTGAATGATTATGAAAGTATTTTCTTTTTGGGGATTTTCTTTCTTTTTTGGGTCACCCTGCCTCGGTGGGAGACTGCCGACTTGTTGGGGGGGGGAAAAAAAAAAAAAAAAAGTAATATTTTTTATATACTGTATGATTATTCATAATTACAAACTTTACCCTATCTTGTAACAATTATGTATTCTATTTAATAGAATTATTATACTATATTATTAGTATTGCCGGGAGAAAGGGGCTAGTAACCCCTTATTTTAGGTCACCCTGTCTCAAGTGGGATACGGCCGGTTTATAGAGGGGAAAAAAAAAATAAAAGTATAAAAGCAATGAAAAATTAAAAGATTTTCTCCCTGGTCTGGAGACCGTTAGCTGATGTTTGTTGGACAAGCTTCTGGGTGTTGATATGTTGGGGATATTGCACTGTACCGTGTGCTGTCTGCCGAGCCACTTGCTCTTACAAGGCAATATTTGAAGTCACTACTCTTGAAGCCTGGCCTGAAGCTAATATTCAATGCTGACTGCATGATAAACCAGGCTGTTGCTGCCAGTGACCTTCTGTAAAACCTACATAACCAACACAAACAACCTGGGTTTTCTGGCACAGCACCTTGAGGGAAACAATGTAATAGCTCTATTACAAAGCACTCTGGGGGAACATAACTATGACAAAGCACTGTGGCAAAAAAGTACTATTAAACCTTTCAGGGTCTGTGCCGTAGATCTACGGCTTTACGTTGAGGGTCCAAATCGTAGATCTACGCCATGAGCTCAGCTCACTCTGATAAGCTGTGAGTGGTAAATTTTGGCCTAGATACGGGAGAATACATCCATGTGGTATGTGTGCACCACATAAAACAAATCCTGCAGCACATAGTGCATAATGAGAGAAAAAAAAAAAGAGACCGTAATTTTCGATTAAAACAGCAACTTTGCAGTGATTTTGTGTGTTTTTTATAGTTGTAGTTGCGATTTCTTGGTCTCATTTGATAGAATGGACGGTATATTACAGAAATAGAGATGATTCTGATTGGTTTTAAAATTGAAAATGGCTTGAAACCGAGGTCAAAGTGGCGGAAATGTTAAATTTTTTGCCCATGTTCTATTACACGCCAGCTGGTGGGTCTAATATACGTTCACAAATGTGCTGATATTATTCATAAAATTATTACAATATTGCATGACAGTAAATCTTCTATTTTTTTGGTTTGAATAAAAATTCATTATATGAATTAACCCTTTCAGGGTTTCGGCCATACTAGTACGGCTTACGCAACAGGGTTTTTGACGTACTAGTACGCTTAAATTCTAGCGCCCTCAAATCTAATGAGAGAAAGCTGGTAGGCCTACATATGAAAGAATGGGTCTATGTGGTCAGTGTGCGCGGTATAAAAAAAAAATCCTGCAGCACACAGTGCATAATGAGAAAGAAAAACTTTGACCGTGTTTTTGGATTAAAACAGCGACTTTGCACTGTATTTTCGTATGGTATTTATTGTTGTATTCTAGTTTTCCTGGTCTCATTTTATAGAATGGAAGACATATTACAGAAATTGAGATGATTTTGACTGGTTTTACAATGAAAAGTACCTTGAAATTGAGCTCAAAGTAGCAGAAATGTTTGATTTTTACCAAAGTTCAAAAGTAAACAAATCATGCTATGCGTCCAATACATGTATGTCAACTGGTGAGTCTAATATTTTTTTACAAGTGTACTGATATTATTTATACCATTTCTACACTAATGCAGTAGTCTGCATAACAGTAAATCTTTATTTCTTTGTGAAAATAAAAATTCAAAGTGGAAAGCAAAAGAATGCAAGAGGGGCATGGGGACATGATCAATGAACAGAGGAAATATTATTTTAGTGCCAGGAATGTCTTTGTTTATTCTGGACCCTATTTGGAAATTGACATCTTTTGAAATGTGTGTGAAATTGGCAAAATTGCTAAATTCTGGCCACTGTATTGGATAGTTGAAATCGGTAAATGGGTGGTTTCTTATACTCATTCGATAGAAAAAAATGGAGTTCTAACGAAATAGTTATGATTTTTGTTGACTAGTACACTGGAATTGGCCGAAAATAGGGCTCAAAGTGGGCAAAATCGCCGATGCGTAAACATCGTTGAGACCGCTAGCTTCACAAGAGCATAATTCCCTAAGTTTTCCATCAAATTTCATACTTTTGGTGTCATTATGATCGGGAAAAGATTCTATCTTTTCATAAGGATTTTTTTTTTTTTGAAAATTGGCGACCCTGAGAACAAGTCTCTGAGAGGGCCTGTCGACCCTGAAAGGGTTAAAAATCAAAATGGAATTCATTTGTAAAGCCTAAAAATGTAACTAATGAACAGAGGAAATGTTAGTTTAGTGCCAGGAATGCCTGCATTGTTTATTCTGGACCCTATTTTAAAATTGGAATATTTTAAACTTTGCACTAAATTGGCCAAATTACCAATTTCCAATCACTATTTTGTAGTTGAAACAGCTGAGTTGGAGATTTCTTGTGCTCAATCGATAGAATAGAAGTAATACTAGTGAAATAGCTAAGAATTTGATTGACTGGAATAAGGTAATTGGACTAAAATGGGAGTCAAAGTCGACAAAATCGACGATGCGTAAATATCGCTAACACATCAAAATTCGCAAGAGCATAATTTTGTCAATTTTCCATCAAATTTCGTACTTTTTGTTTTATTACCTTCAGAAAAAGATTCTCTACCATTTCATAAGAAAAAATAAGAAAATTATTTTTTGAAATTCTTGGATACTAGTGCGCGCTTTGAAATTTGGCCTGAGCCCTGAAAGGGTTAAAACTCTTAAAACAATAAATGTTATGCCCATTGCTTAAAAAAATAAATTAATCACAAATTCCCAAAGGCAAAGTTTGACACTGCTAGCACCCACCTTGCCCAAGAGGGGAAGCTCCACTGAACCCCAGGTGTCTGCCCCCCAGTGAACGAACCCCGAGGCAAAGTCTGCCGTGAAGATCCCTGCTAGCGCAACGAGGAAGATTGTAGCCACCTTCTCGAATTTGAAGTGAAACGCCATGAAATACAAGTTGACTACCATCAATGTTATACATATGCAGACACAAACTATTTCCTGCATTCGTTTCCCTGAAAGAAATGGAGAAATTCAACATGAGGCACGTGAAACAAGCAAACAAGGCACACAAAACATATGAATAGTCAAAAAACGCACTTATACTAAGGCAGATAAAGGCAACGATAACTGAATTACATTTTGAAAGGCCTGTGCAGCACAGTAAAATAAATCAGATTAATGTAATTGGATAAGGACATTTAAATATGGCCTGGTGGGTAAAGCTCTCTTCACACAGCGAGGGTCTGGGTTCGATTCCTAGCGAGGGCAGAAGCATTGGGCATGTTTCTTTACACCAGTTGTCTATGTTCCCTATCAGTAAAATGGGTCCCTGGGAGTTAGTTGACTGGTGTGGGTCACACCCTGGGACAAAACTAACCTAATTTGCCCAAAATGCTCTGAAAGCATAACAAGAGGATTTCTATACAGTGGACCCTCGTTTTTCTTAATACGTTCCAGAGTGTGACCGATATCGAAATTGACGATTTGTGAAACCATTTTCCCCATAAGAAATAATGTAAATCCAATTAATCCATTCCAGACACTTAAAAGTATTAAAACAAAATTTTTTTTACGTGAAATATAGATGTACATACACAGAAAACAATGAGACATGAAGAATGAAACAATAATATGACACTTGCCTTTACTGACGATTCTTCTTAGTGTATGGAAGATGGGAGGAGGGGAGAGGATGGATTAATTACTGTTTGGAAGAGGAATCCTCTCCCATAAACACTTCAGGTACCAAGTGCTTTTCTGGGGTTACTTCCCTTCTTTGTTTTTTAAAGCCACTAGGACCAGCTTGAGAGTTACTGCACACCTGTGGCACTAAACACCTGTCTAGAGAGCTTTGTTTCTGGCATCTCTTTAAAATTTCCCTAAAATGGGATAAGACATTGTCATGGCACATGTTGCCGACACGGGTTGCAAGAGCTCTGTCAGGGTGATGTTCCTCCATAAATCTCTCCATCCTACTCCACACTGCACAAATCTCCTTAATCTCTGAAGAAGGCACCTTCTTTCATCTCTCTCCCTCCTCAGAAGCAATTTCCTGAGCTGTGGTCTGTTGCTGTTCCATATGAAGCTCTTGCAGCTCTTCAGTGGTTAGCTCTTCGTTGTGGTCCTCCACCAACTCTTCCACATCCTTGCCATTCACATCCAACCCCATGGAATTCTCCAATACCACAACAGATTCCACAACTGGCATAGGGTTCTCAGGGTCAGCCCCCAAACCCTTCAAAATCTCTCTTTTGGGCACAATCTGGCCACAATTTTCTCCAAGCAGAGTTCAAAGTCCTGGAAATCACTACCTACCTTGGTTCATGTGTGTGAGATTTTATATATACTGTGTACCTTGTCCTAAGGTTCGTAGGTTCGAGTCTCCTTCAGCCAGAGATCAGCGTTTGTGTATATTTCGCCTGCTCTCGCGAATTCCTTGCATATATATACGTATATATCTATATCTTTCATATATTTTTTTTATTTTTTTTTTTATTATCACACTGGCCGATTCCCACCAAGGCAGGGTGGCCCGAAAAAGAAAAACTTTCACATCATTCACTCCATCACTGTCTTGCCAGAAGGGTGCTTTACACTACAGTTTTTAAACTGCAACATTAACACCCCTCCTTCAGAGTGCAGGCACTGTACTTCCCATCTCCAGGACTCGAGTCCGGCCTGCCGGTTTCCCTGAACCCCTTCATAAATGTTACTTTGCTCACACTCCAACAGCACGTCACGTATTAAAAACCATTTGTCTCCATTCACTCCTATCAAACACGCTCACGCATGCCTGCTGGAAGTCCAAGCCCCTCGCACACAAAACCTCCTTTACCCCCTCTCTCCAACCTTTCCTAGGCCGACCCCTACCCCGCCTTCCTTCCACTACAGACTGATACACTCTTGAAGTCATTCTGTTTCGCTCCATTCTCTCTACATGTCCGAACCACCTCAACAACCTTCCTCAGCCCTCTGGACAAACAGTTTTGGTAATCCCGCACCTCCTCCTACTTCCAAACTACGAATTCTCTGCATTATATTCACACCACACATTGCCCTCAGACATGATATCTCCACTGCCTCCAGCCTTCTCCTCGCGTGCAACATTCATCACCCATGCTTCACACCCATATAAGAGTGTTGGTAAAAACTATACTCTCATACATTCCCCTCTTTGCCTCCAAGGACAAAGTTCTTTGTCTCCACAGACTCCTAAGTGCACCACTCACTCTTTTCCCCTCATCAATTCTATGATTCACCTCATCTTTCATAGACCCATCCGCTGACACGTCCACTCCCAAATATCTGAATACATTCACCTCCTCCATACTCTCTCCCTCCAATCTGATATTCAATCTTTCATCACCTAATCTTTTTGTTATCCTCATAACCTTACTCTTTCCTGTATTCACCTTTAATTTCTCTTTTTGCACACCCTTCCAAATTCATCACCAATCTCTGCAACTTCTCTTCAGAATCTACCAAGAGCACAGTGTCATCAGCAAAGAGCAGCTGTGACAACTCCCACTTTGTGTGTGATTCTTTATCTTTTAACTCCACGCCTCTTGCCAAGACCCTCGCATTTACTTCTCTTACAACCCCATCTATAAATATATTAAACAACCACGGTGACATCACACATCCTTGTCTAAGGCCTACTTTTACTGGGAAAAAATTTCCCTCTTTCCTACATACTCTAACTTGAGCCTCACTATCCTCGTAAAAACTCTTCACTGCTTTCAGTAACCTACCTCCTACACCATACACTTGCAACATCTGCCACATTGCCCCCCTATCCACCCTGTATACGCCTTTTCCAAATCCATAAATGCCACAAAGACCTCTTTAGCCTTATCTAAATACTGTTCACTTATATGTTTCACTGTAAACACCTGGTCCACACACCCCCTACCTTTCCTAAAGCCTCCTTGTTCATCTGCTATCCTATACTCAGTCTTACTCTTAATTCTTTCAATAATAACTACCATACACTTTACCAGGTATACTCAGCAGACTTATCCCCCTATAATTTTTGCACTCTCTTTTATCCCCTTTGCCTTTATACAAAGGAACTATGCATGCTCTCTGCCAATCCCTAGGTACCTTACCCTCTTCCATACATTATTAAATAATTGCACCAACCACTCCAAAACTATATCCCCACCTGCTTTTAACATTTCTATCTTTATCCCATCAATCCCGGCTGCCTTACCCCCTTTCATTTTACCTACTGCCTCACGAACTTCCCCCACACTCACAACTGGCTCTTCTTCACTCCTACAAGATGTTATTCCTCCTTGTCCTATACACGAAATCACAGCTTCCCTATCTTCATCAACATTTTAACAATTCCTCAAAATATTCCCTCCATCTTCCCAATACCTCTAACTCTCCATTTAATAACTCTCCTCTCCTATTTTTAACTGACAAATCCATTTGTTCTCTAGGCTTTCTTAACTTGTTAATCTCACTCCAAAACTTTTTCTTATTTTCAACAAAATTTGTTGATAACATCTCACCCACTCTCTCATTTGCTCTCTTTTTACATTGCTTCACCACTCTCTTAACCTCTTTTTTTTCTCCATATACTCTTCCCTCCTTGCATCACTTCTACTTTGTAAAAACTTCTCATATGCTAACTTTTTCTCCCTTACTACTCTCTTTACATCATTCCACCAATCGCTCCTCTTCCCTCCCGCACCCACTTTCCTGTAACCACAAACTTCTGCTGAACACTAACACTACATTTTTAAACCTACCCCATACCTCTTCGATCCCATTGCCTATGCTCTCATTAGCCCATCTATCCTCCAATAGCTGTTTATATCTTACCCTAACTGCCTCCTCTTTTAGTTTATAAACCTTCACCTCTCTCTTCCCTGATGCTTCTATTCTCCTTGTATCCCATCTACCTTTTACTCTCAGTGTAGCTACAACTAGAAAGTGATCTGATATATCTGTGGCCCCTCTATAAGCATGTACATCCTGAAGTCTACTCAACAGTCTTTTATCTACCAATACATAATCCAACAAACTACTGTCATTTTGCCTACATCATATCTTGTATACTTATTTATCCACTTTTTCTTAAAATATGTATTACCTATAACTAAACCCCTTTCTATACAAAGTTCAATCAAAGGGCTCCCATTATCATTTACACCTGGCACCCCAAACTTACCTACCACACCTTCTCTAAAAGTTTCTCCTACTTTAGCATTCATGTCCCTACCACAATTACTCTCTCACTTGGTTCAAAGGCTCCTATACATTCACTTAACATCTCCCAAAATTCTCTCTCTCTCCTCTACATTCCTCTCTTCTCCAGGTGTATACACGCTTATTATGACCCACTTTTCGCATCCAACCTTTACTTTAATCCACATAATTCTTGAATTTACACATTCATATTCTCTTTTCTCCTTCCATAACTGATCATTTAACATTACTGCTACCCCTTCCTTTGCTCTAACTCTCTCAGATACTCCAGATTTAATCCCATTTATTTCCCCCCACTGAAACTCCCCTACCCCCTTCAGCTTTGTTTCGCTTAGGGCCAGGACATCCAACTTCTTTTCATTCATAACATCGACAATCATCTGTTTCTTGTCATCTGCACTACATCCACGCACATTTAAGCATCCCAGTTTTATAAAGTTTTTCTTCTTCTCTTTTTTAGTAAATGTCTACAGGAGAAGGGGTTACTAGCCCATTGCTCCCGGCATTTTAGTCGCCTCATACGACATGCATGGCTTACGGAGGAAAGATTCTTTTCCACTTCCCCATGGACAATAGAAGAAATAAAGAAGAACAAGAGCTATTTAGAAAAAGGGGAAAAACCTAGATGTATGTATATACGTATATATGCATGTGCGTGTCTGTGAAGTGTGACCAAAGTGTAAGTAGGAGTAGCAAGATATCCCTGTTATCTAGCGTGTTTATGAGACAGAAAAAGAAACCAGCAATCCTACCATCATGCAAAACAGTTACAGGTTTCTGTTTCACAGTCATC